TTTGTCCTGACAGCTGAGAACCTCTGTGATATCTCCTGTTTAACTATGTGTTGACTCTTCAATAATTTTGAGGTTTGCAAATTTTACTCCCCAAACAGCAGTCTCCCATCTGAGAAAATGCCAAGTGTGCCAGCAACTGCTGGGCACAATAGGGTGCCATCTCATTTATTAAAACATCCATTCATATAACCTGTTTTAATAGTAGTGCATGCCTCAGCGACACTAAATCAAATGTCTACTATTATTCTTCAAATAATAGTAATTAGTATAAAAAATAGTAATTAAACCTTACATTCCTGATTAATTTTAGGAAAAAGAACTGAAGCCCCAAGAGCAACATTAACTTGTTTAAATTACCTATGCAGTTTAGTTTTGAAAGACTTCCTATAAACAGTAATATTCAAATGTAAAAAATTCGTACAGAAGATAACAATAACCTGATGTAGCCATGACAGTCTACTGAAATATATGAAGTAAAGCTTGTTAAGCTGAGCAAACATATTTTCACACAACTGATAAAGCTGAGAAGACCTGACAATCTATCAGGTCACCCAAGCCCTTCTTCAGAGCTGAAACAAAGGCAGTAAATGCCAAGCTACACATACTGACAAAACCAGCCTGACTTCAGTCCATGGCATGTTTTCCTTCTCAGTTATATTTTGGGGGTATTCTTAGCAATGGATTTCTAAGGATTCTAATGGATTTCAGGATTTATATGGCTGTACTAAAGCTCTGCATCTAGTAGAGTTGCCCGGTCCTAGTTCTGCCACATTCATAGGAAGAAAGGAACGGATGAAATTCTGCCACTCCTGTCATTTTTTGCAAAGCTAAGCAAACCGTACAGTAGCTGACAGTGGAAATGCCAGAGCTTCCCGGCAGGAAGAAATTACTTCATTTACAGCAAGATCTTTGACATCTGCAGAGTGTACCCAAGCTGCCGCTAAAGAGATCACAGGGAAGGCAGAGCTGTTTGTGTAGCTTCTCTGACATGTGGGGTTGTGCTTGTTTTTTGGGGGGGAAGCTCACTGTTCTTGTCATGGTGCTCATGATCCCTTATTGCTGTCCTGGGTTTGAATGAGCAGTAGGGTTTTTTTTTTTTGGTAGCAGGGGAGGGAGCTACAATTGTGGAGGATAAATTTTGTAAATTTCCACTGTGAATACAAGTTATCCCAAAATAAAGGAAGAGTTTCATCTGATGAAAAAATAAACGTGCGGGTATCTTCGTTTTTATGTCACTGAACAGTTTCCAGGAAATATCAGGTATTTGGCGGTTCCAAGCAAACGTCCTTACCAGAACACTTCTTGATTCTCTGTACTTTTTCAAAAGCTTTGTCTGCTTCATATTAAGTTTACGGTTCTTCGCCTCGCATTTAAGAACTTTCTCTATCTGTGGAGTCACTTTCATCTTTGGTTTGAGACGCACCCGGTAGCTATCAGGAACCAGGAACTGGAAGCAGTAAGGACATACCCTTTTTAATCCACATTCGTTATCTACAGATTAATAAAGAATAAAACATAAATAAAATAATTATGTTTTATATGCAAACGTTAAAATGGTATGTTTCTATCTTAACATTATCTAGGTAGGTATGTTTTTATGTTTCAGATACTACTAGAAGACAAGAGGAAGCTGAACACTGGTAAGTGCACCAGTACGTGCTCAGCTCAGCACAATTCATGGTAAGTTTATACACAACAGAAGTCTACACAGCACCTCATTGTCAATTTTCGTGACAAAATGCCATTCCTTCCTAAAAATCGTTAACGCCGGAGGCTCGCAATTCTGCGAGGAACTCCACGCAGGCACACCCTTTTGCCAGACCGCTGACACCGAAGCCTGGCAAAGCCCTTTCGCCCAGGGCAAGTGCGGGAAGGTGTCAGCATCCCACCCCGGGACCAGGAAGTGCTTTCCGATGCAGTTCAGCGCTAATTAGGAGGCACGCTCCCGCCGCCCGCGCCTTGCTGCAGCAGGCAGCAGCCTAAACCCCTGAGGGGAACACGCGGGCCCTGCTGCCTGGCGAGCGCGCCGCTGCTGCAGGCGCGCTGCTGCTCCCCCGCCGCTGGGCCCCGGCCCCGGCCCCGGCCCCGGCCCCGGTCCCGGTCCCGGTCCCGGTCCCTCACTCGCCTCGGCGGTTGCGGAGCGTCCACCTGCGCGGGAAAAGGGCAACAACGTCACGGCGCGGAACGGTACGGTACGGCACGCCACGCACGACACCGCCCTCCCCGGACCCGGCCACGCGGCGGCGCGCCGCGGCAGGCGCGAGGACGGGGGGCGGGGCCAGCCCCACGTGCGTCACCAGCTCGCTCTCCCCGCCCCCGCTTCGCCTCCCGCCGCCATTCCCCCCCCCCCACTTCCCCCGGGGCCGCCGGGCGCTTACAGCAGGAACCGCGCCTGTCCCGGGCAGGCGCCCGCCAGCCCCTCCGCCGCCACCTCCTGGAACCACCGCCGCCGCCGCTCCATGGCGCCGAACGCCCGCCCCGCCGGAAACCGCCGCTAGCCAGGTCCGGCGGCCAGGGGCGGGGAAGGGGAGGGGGCGGGGGAACGTGCAGCGTTTCGCCCGGGCCCGGCGGGCACCCGGGGCCGAAGCACCGTGGTTCCGGGCTCGGACGGCGACGCGGTACGCCGCCCAGCCCGAGGCGGCGCGGTGTAGCCCGGGGTGGGGGTGGGGCGTTAGGCGACGGTTTCGTGCTGCCGCCGCCGCCGCCGCCTGCCCCGGGCGAGGAGCCGCCGGGGCTCGCGCCGCCGGCGGCCGTTGCAACGGGCGGCGCGAGGGGCGGCGCGCGGCGCTGAGGGGCCGGGGCCGGTGGGCGCCCGCCCCGCCATTGGGGAAGCGGCCGGGGGCGACAGCCGTGCGGCGGGAGCAGCCTGGGTCTGCGGCGGTGCTGGGAGGGGTGTTTATGTGGGAAACTTTTACCTTAGCGGCGGGAAAAAAAAAAAAAAAAAACCAAAAAAACAAAAAAACAGAACAAAAAAAATTCTCTGTCAAGAGTTGTCACGTGAAGGATTTCAACCAGCAGCACCAGAATGCCGCTTGATGTTCGAAAGTGCTGAACTTCAGCTATCTCTCGCTCTGTTGAGATGCCTTTTTATTAATTTTGGCAACTACGTGCTTTGCTTTATCACTCTGCAAATGTGCGCCTATTAAAAAGAAAAAAAACCCTCAGCTTTTCAACGTTTGATGTGTGTTTTATTAATTCCCTCAGCCCCATTCATTTGCTAGACATTCTTCTTCTTTGATCTGCTGGTAATAGTGTTCATTTAGGAGAGGTATTCATCTGAGCAGGCTTCAATATTCTATCAAGGAATTTGAATAAATGCAATTATTTCTTATTTTCTAACATGGGGTAGCCAAGGGCTTTAGAAGTAGAAAAGCATAGGAAAAATTGAATTTCTGGGCTTCCTTTAATACGAAAGCTTTACAGTGCAGTCAATAAATCTGGGCTTGTGAATGAAATGTTCATAGTAGCTGCAGTTAGGGCCTCTGCTGACTTTATTTTTTAATTAAATAAAACCATTTCAATGGACCTTTTAATATTACATTTTTTTATTGCCAAGTTGCTGGCTTTGTTGATAGTTTTTGTGTGAACTCTACCTTTCCTGAGTGGAAGAGCAGGGATGTCACATAATACCTGTTTAAAACACAACCAGTGTTCATCAGCCAACAGATTTTTGGCCAATGAAATTCCCATTTATTAGTAGCGGTGGAAAAAAAAAAATGGAAGTGTTTTTTGAACACGAGTGAGCAAAAATAATTTCAACACTTTTATGGCGGGTGGGCCTGTTTTTATCATTTTTAACCACGTTTTCCTCCTAGGGGACTTGATTGCAGAGGAGAAGGGGTGAGGCAAGATACTTCCGTGTTCTCTTCCAGCCTCTGCCCAGCAAAAGGAAAATGTACTGGGGATTTTTGTGTGGTCCCAGGAGCTGGGACCTGACTCCTCCCTGGCCCTGGAGTGGTGCAGGTGGACCAGAGCACTTGAACCAGCATGCTGGGTTAACCTTTTTTTTTTTGTGTGGGAGAACAAGTGCCTGAGTGACTTGGTTAATAAGCACTGTACTGTACTAATTAACTAGTGACTAATACAATGCATAGGATTTGGTTTTATTTCTTCCCCCCCACCCCCCCCCGGCTCTTACATTCTTCTTATCCCTGCTGTTTTTTCCCCCTCAGTCTCCTCCAGTCTGTCTTTTCTTCTGCTCCTGAAAGTACGCTGGCCCATTCCCTTTTTTTACGTTAGTTTGCAGGTTTCTCTTTGCGTTATAGATCATCTTTGTCCAAAAAGCAGTGCAAACAGCACCTCCCAGTGCCATTCAGATACAGTATATCATGTGTCTTGTCCCAGTACCTGTCTCACGAGGCAGAAACCGTATTTCTCATGTTAGGTATGGTGCTGAATGTGCTAAACAAATACAACTCTAGAGACAAAGGGAAAATGACCAAAAAACCATGGCCTCCGAGTCATGGCTCTCTGTGAGCCCCTTTCTGCAGATCTCCCATCAAAAGTCAGTATGCCTGTGCATCCAGTGCTGGCAGGACCAGACCCTTGAAACCAGGTAACCCTCAGCTCCCTGGTACAGTATTTATGGCATCCGTGGGGTAAATTCACCCGCATTTCAAGGCAGAATGCATTCATCTCCACTTTTTCCTGGCTTTTGTTCACCAAAAAAACCCCATGTTAAGCAGACCCATGTTTCTAACTGCTTCCTGCTTCTGTTGTTTAGTGTTTTGTAGCTACCACGGATGGCCAACAAGCTGTAAATCTTGCCTGGTGTTTTGTAACAAAGGAAAAAATAGAATGATTTGTGTTGACTTTTGGTCATCGTGTATCATTATTGATTTGAGGGAGGGCGGTGGAGGAAAGCGTACTGTGTATCTGGTGCTTGCCAATTTTCCAGGAAGGCGGTGTTAGCTAGCAGTCAGTAGAGGGCAATAGAGAAATGCAGTTTGTGATACCTAAAGGATTTGAGGCACTGATTATGTGTTTACAGAAAAGAAAAAGAAGAAAAGAAGAGCCAAGAGGATAGGTTGTTCAGTTTACTACTGGAGACCTGACTGTGACAGACCACCAAGAAAACAAAATTTTCAAAGAGAGCGGAGAAGACCTTCTGCAGCATCTGCGAGTCTCGTTTTTTCTTCAGAGTTACGTAGGATAACTTGGCCAGAACTTATTGATGACTGCATGTTCAGTGGCCTCGGGAATGGACTGGGAGATGCAGGAAGGCATTCTTTGGATGGAACAGAAGAGGAGGCATTTCAAAGATCCTGCAGGTGACTGAGGTGAGCAAACTCACAGCATCTCTTTTAGGTGAGATAATAGGTGTTCAGTCAGCTGTATAAAAGTCATGAGAAAACTGAGTGAGTGATTGAAATTATAGGAGAATTCTGCTTTTTCAGGCATGCTGGTGCAAGACTAATTTTATCTTGGAAAAAAAAGGATAGGGATGCTACAAGGATAAACATTTCTAAGCCTATGTTATTTTGGAGACATGCTAAAAACTAGTGACTTCTTTTATGTGTAATATTTTATATTAGAACTGTTTGAAACATGCTCATCATTTTACAAGGTTTTTGTGCTATAGTTCCTAGACTCTTGTTTACAGAGAAATATATAAAGAAGATGTGACAGTTGTTCCTTTTAGAGGGGATTTTTGCTAAGCTTTTGGACAAATGTGACTTGGAGGTTTGGAGAAATTTATTAAGAGATTTTAGATGCATGGTGGGAATGCTGTCGTATTCCTCTAAGGCTTTATTATCAGAAAGATATGAGAAGTAATAACAAAGAATAAAGCAATAACGAAAGGAGTTAAGTCACAGAAATCAAGGAGCTGACAGAGGGTTGGGAAAGCAGGAAAAACCCAAGAGACTAAGTTAGGAAATAAGCATAAGAAACACTTTTCTATTGCCAAGATCTCGGCTGGTGTCACCATAACACTTGGAAAATATCCTCATGATGCTGGGAACCATTAAAGCGGTACAGATTATCGGAGGATAAACTTCCACTTCAGCTGCCACTGGTACCAGAAGTGACCAATAAGAAACGTTTGGGGAATGAAAGGTGAAGGATTGAAGCACTGACATTCTGGGGATATCACAGAGCAAGTGCAAGGGTATCTAGAGGTCAGACAGTAGTACCCATCTGAAACAAGGCAGGCTGATAAATAAGAAGAATAAATCAGATTCTAAAAAATACCATCAGCTTTGAAAAGCTAATTAAAGGAAAAGTTATCCACTGTTCCTCCTGAGCCTGGATTTATTTCGTAAGTGCTATGACAGATAAGGCTACGGCACAGTGATTTATCTGTGCTTTGAGTGCCGAAATATGTAAAAGATTAATATGATGATTGTTTGTTTATACATTGCTTAGAACGCTGCTTCCTTGCAGAATGTGCCTGAGGGAAGTGAAAGATAACATATATAAAGTATGTCACTATTTTCCATGGGTTGGCAACATCCACCTGGCAGGGAAGGGACTCAATGCATATCAGAAGCCCCCTGATCTTGAAAGCTACAAGTTCCAGTCTGCAATGTTTTCTTCCTTTCATTCCATTTCCAGTGCTCTAGATCTTCTTGTATGCCTGCAAATCCATTCTCTCAAAAGATAACAGAAATTAAAGATGATGTTGAACAAAAACCTCTGAGAGAAACATACCTGCAGTTTAAGGAAATCCATACTTGTATACCAACTCTTCTTTAAAGCAGTCTCTGATAGAAATTACTAGTTCTTTAACTGAAATGTGAAGCTCTAGGGCAATGAACATTCTCTTACAGCTGATGCCTATTTTCAGTGAAACCAGCATGATTGCTTGTTGGTGTCTGCTGAAGAGTTTTCTCACAGGTCGTATCTCTACAGATATAATTAAAAGTATTTTTGTAGTGGGGAGCTAATGCTTATTCAAGTCCGGGCTTTGCTTTGCCTCTGTGTGACTTTGTGGTACCTTAGGCCTTATCAGGGTCAGGTTACGGAGTGGCCAGCCTGGCATCTTGCCCAGGCTGAGGTCTAGGCTTTGGCTGGCGGGCTGCAGATGTACAAGGGGACCCTCCTTGCGTAGACGTTATGGGAAAGGCCATTGTCTGGTTGCAGTGTCCTTCAGTACACAGGCAAATACACTCCTATGCCAGTTCTGGATATGAGTCCTTGTCACCTTGAGTCAGAAGAAACTATTCCTTCATTTTCACTCACAAAAGAGTTATCTAAAAATGTTGAAATCTCAAGCCAAAGATCCACCCGTGAAGAAGATGCTGCTAATTAATGTGTTAATTGTCATGTAAACCTCTTTGCTTAATGAGATGTGAAATAGCCCCTACTGTTAGGAATATCAGTGTGCACCGGATTTTGTCCCAAGCCCTCAGGGTCATTTATCGCTGTGCTGCAGCACAACCCAGGGCTGCTATTTCAGCTTCCTGCCAAAACGGGAACATTTTACTTTCTGATGAGTCATCTGGGTTTCACTCAGATCCTGTAAGGTTCCCCCACCCTGTTCTTCTCTGCTGTACAGTCCAGGCCCTGCCCTAGAGGCCTTGCTTTCCCAGCTGAAAGATGGGGTGGAACCCTCTTCAGCAGCTGTCAGTGCTGTTCCGAAATTAACGTGGAGGGGACTGCTAGTGAATGATACGGAGCATTTTCTCTGTCACTGGAGCTGAACGTGCAGCATTCCTAGCTTTTTCTGGCCTGGACTGTGGTGGAGCAGAGCTGGAACCTGAGTTGGAGTTTGCCACACGCTGCGCTAAATGCTACCTGCATCAAAACAGGAAGGGAACTAGGTCAACCAAAGGAGGCAGCTGTAGATGTTTTCCCTATTGGTCATATTTACTTATGAACAACACAGCAGAGCTACATGTTTCGGGAAAACATTTCTTGCTCTCTTTTTTTTTTTTCCTTCTGGTGCAAAAAGGGGATAGGGGAAGTCTTCATTTTTAAATTTATTTTTCCTTTAAATTATTTTCTTTTCCTTTTAATATTTAGGTGGCACTGGTTTGAACGTGAGGTTGGACTGGATGACTTCTAGAGGTTTCCAACCTCACCCTGTAATTGTCAACACTCGTGCTGTTATTTTGGATTCTTCCTGACTCCAAATTACCTGGGAGAGGAAAAAAAAAAAAAAAAAAAAAACAAAACATGACTATTTTAAGACAGTTTTCTTTCCCCTCAAAGTTATTATTTTAATTCATTAGAAAATGGACCGGAGAGAATAAAAACCAGGTACTCCCAATAAATGTGTCATGGAATAGTTCTCTGCAGTTGTTGGTTTCTGGGTTTTGTGTTCCTGGGCTTCAGCAGTCATGTTCAGGATGCTTAACAGAATTGCCATTATGTAGAAATTTATGTCAGCTGGGGGCTAAACCATGTGAGGGCTGTACTCCCTGCTGCAGTTGAAAAGTGGCTTCTCACACCTGTTTATAGTATCCAAAGTTGGTCTCATGTCTGAGAAGCTGACATCATTGCTGATTCTTCCACTTTTATGCTTGGTGAGTCAGATGGCAAGCAGGGGTGGAATATTTACTGCTAAAGTATGTGAAATAATATGAACTTGAAAGATTCATATCAGTTTTTCAGTAATCAGTTTTGGCTAAATTCATTCAAAATTAAACTGTTTGCTCAGCTGACATCCTTAATTCATCACCCTCGCTGAGACTGAGATCTTCAAAGCCATTCACAACAGCTAAACAAACATATCTTCCATTAGTTTCAATTATGAAGCCTGATAAAGTGTGCAGATGATATGAATCTTTACAGATGACAGTGAGGGATATAATTTAGACACAAGAGAGGTAACATGATCAGACTGATGCTTATAGTGAACTATAAGCCAGAGTTTCACAGTTGAATATGGGTGGGTGGTACAATGCTCCTCACCTGCTTCAAAACTGCTGCTGAGGCACAGCGGTAGCACAGCATATTGTACCTGCATTGGGAGGAGAGCACTTGAGTCTTCATTGCTGGTAATGTGGCACTGTCCCCAAAACTTATTCCTTTTTTAAGAGAAAAAACTGGAATGGAGAGGAGGTAACTACTTCTTAAGTCTAAAGCAGCTACATTAAAGAGGAAAAACTTCACATGACAGTAATTTAATTAGACTGCAGTATTATTGCCTTGACTAGTGATGGAAAACAAGAAACTTCTTAAGTGAGGGTTGTATCATAGCTGCATAATTTCCCAATACTGAAAGGAGCTAGTCTTTCTAAAGCTGGCCTACATGCAAGGCCCTCTGCTTTCACTGGAAAGCTCCTCAGAGATTTTGTACAGAAAACAAAACAGCAAGGGGTAGATGATTCACCAGAATATTTTTCTCTAAAACCCCAGAGGTCTCTACTTAAGCATCCCAAGCTATAAAAAGCTTGAAGTAGTTAATATACATGTTAAACACTCAACATCAGAGCTATCATTAACTTGCTACGTATTTGAAGTATAGGGAGGGGCTGATGGAATCTAGAATTTTTCCAGAAGGCCCACAGCCATGTGCTTTTATGTATTTGTTGTGATTTGAGCCCGGTCGGCAGCCAAACACCACAGAGCTACTCACACCTCCTTTCTCTTCCAGCAATGAGAAGGGACAAATGAGCCAGGCTTGGGGTTTGAGATAGGACTGGGAGGGGCAGATCACCCATTATGGTCACAAGCAAAAGGCAGACTCGTTAGGGGAAGAGAAAAAGAACATACATTTATTAAAGACACTAACAACAACACATAACAGAGTAGGACAGTGAGAAGCATTGCCACATCTTGAGAACACCTTCCCCCCACCCCTCCCTTCTTCCCGGGCTCAGCTCTGCTCCCGATATCTCTACCTCCTCCCCCAGTGGCGCAGGGGCAGGGAATGGGGGGTGCAGTCAGTGCTGCTGCTGCTGCTTCTTCCATCTTCGGTGGGGGGAGCTTCTGGAACTTGTTCCCCCTGCTCCATCGTGGTCCCCCTCTCACAGGAGACAGTCCTCCACAGACTTTCTCCGACGTGAGTTCCTCCCATGGGCCGCAGCGTTCCCCACACTGCTCCGTCGTGGGTCACTAACTTCCTCCGACTGGATTCCCTCCCACGGCTGCAGCCCTTCCCGAGCTGCTCTGGCATGGGACACCCCTGCATGCTGCAATCCTCCCAGCACTGAATTACAGCAGTGGGGCTGCCTTTTCCCATGAGACCCCGGCCTTCTTCGGGCACAGAACCTTGATCAATTAGGCGGAAGCCACGGGCCATAAATCAATATCTGCTCCACTGTAGATCTCCATGGGTGGCAGGGGGGGCCGCCCTGCCGTCTCACCACAGGATACAGGGGGGTCTCTGCTCCGGCACACCTCCCCCCTCCTTTCTCCCTCCGTTCCTCCACTGACCTTGGTGTTCATGCAGCTGCAGCAACTCCTCCTCACCAGTCCCACTGCCCGTCACCACGTCCCTTCTTAAATACGTTATCTCAGAGGTGCAGCTGATGGGCTCAGTTTTGGTGCAGAGGTGGAGCTGACTTGGAGCTGGAGGAGCTTTGAGAAGCTTCTCACAGGGGGAGTCACCCCTATAGCCCCCTCTCCTGCCACCAAAAAACCCCACCACTCACTCAAAGCTGGGACAGTATTCTTTTCGTTATTGTTAAATAATGCTAACAGTAGTATTCGTGTATGGCCTGCATCAGTCTCCTGAAAGATCATTTTGGCCCTCAGTGAGAAAAAACCTTGTTTTCCCTTTTCAGAAAAGTAATTTTAAAGTAGCCAGGCTGGTGGCATGGCAGACATAATAAAGTTTGTCAATTCATAATTGGTTTGTGCAAATTAAAATGATTTTTTTTTCCTTACTGTGTCCTTAAGCAATGTTCCCCTGATGAAAATATTTGTGTTTTGTTTTTTTTTTAATTAATCTCATCCTTCCTCCTAAATCAGTTTAAGATCTCTACATCCCTGTTTGGAAAAAAAAGATGTGGTTATCATAAGAGCATGGGTGAAAGATAGGATGGTGGAAAGCCTAAAGGAGTAGAGGTCCAGATAGAGATGTACTGGCAGGTCTATGAAGAGCTTGTCACAGTGCCTGTTGGCTCTCTGCTCCTGTTTCATTTGCTCTGCTGGTTAATCATTTGCTTGAATGCTCAGGTACCATGGTGATGGACACACTATCAGTGCCACAGACCCAGCATGCTGCATATTCATTAAAACATTATTTCTGAAAGGAAACCCAATATAAATACAACTTTTGAAAATCCTCAGCATAGGTAACATTGCTGTTTACTTTCCTCTCCAACAATACGAATTAGCATGGTAGGATGTAGGCTTCTTCATTTCTTCCCAATTTAGGTTTTTCATTCTGCTGTTGATATCCACAACTCTCTCATAAGAACATAAGTGGTTTGAAAAGCTTCAGACTTCTTCCATATGTTGAATATAGCACATTTGTGCACTGGCCTTTCTGTGCAGCTATTGAGATATGTGTTCCATTGTCATCAATATTAAAATCAGGGAAAGGGCCTTGGAATAAGAGCCAAATGCGTCTTTGGACTATTAAGCCCCAACAGTTTGCTAGTGTGACCTTTGTGAAACTGGGGGTATAAAGTGCAACTTTGAAAATCCTGGCCAGCAACTAACTGCTGGAGTGCCAACTGGCAAGCAATTCCTCCTTCTTCTCCAAATACGAAACCTTCTGCCTGAATAGCTCCAATGCAGCATCTCTTCTGCAGTGTCACATTTTGAGGTGTAATCCTCACACAGGCTTCTGTTGCTGTTGTTACTTTTTATAGTGCAGTGCTATTTGTATCTCTGAATATTTATGGCGGCCACCACTGGACAATTAGCACTGAGCAGTAGCTTCCCACAGAGGGCATTACTGTGCTAGCATCCCTCCAAGATAACTGCACAGAATATAGAAACAAATGTTATCTCTTTATCCCAAGTACCTTATAAATTTGCTCCTGGTTTGGGTATCTTGAGTTGCTTCATGGTGCTGCTCTCTGAACACTGGTGCTGGAGCTGACTGAACTAGCACACCGGCAGCCTGTGAACCCTCAGCACATGACGTGTCCAGCAGGCAAATTAAACCACAGAGGAGGGAATCAGAGCTGGATAATTGTTCCTCAAACTCCATTGATCATAAAAGCTTGCTTTAACTTTAGTTGCAGTCTTCAGGAAATAGAAAAGACATCCTTTCCCTCCTACATTTGCCTCACATGATAAAAAAGTACCAAATACTTTTTTCAGGCCTATCTTGCCATCTGCTCTGACAGCAATTAGCTCACCAATTGGTGTGGGCTGAGTTCCATTAATATATGGTAAAAGCGTGCAAAAAAGCTCAAAACTCAGACGGTGATACAGGGATGCTGTTTATGTCTGACTGGCATGAGGTAGGAAGGGCCTGTGATATACTGCTTGCCAGAAGTTGGAGACACTTACAAACAGTGTGTAGACAAAGCAACACCATTTAAATATCCCATAATACTGATTAAAAAAAATGTATAGTAAAGACACTAAATATGGCAATCCTGTCAGCATTTCTGAACAATGGGTGAGTGAGATTTGTGGAACTTGCGGGTCACGACTGGTCTCCTCACTAACCTGCTTCCTGTAAGATGTGAGCTGATGTCGCAGGGGTGGTGGGAGAGAAGCCGGGACTTACTCTTTAAGGATTTAATTTGAAAGGCAAATTCCTTCTTCCTATCCTTCTGCAGTATGGGACTTTCCACCTTGGTACCACCTGGTCCTTGAACACTCTAGGATCCACAGATCCTTGTAAAAAGTACAGGTACAGCAACTTTTCTCTGCTCTGGTGTTTTACTGGGGAGAAAGAACAGCCCTTGAGGAAAGTGGAAAATGAGTGCTGTTTGCCTCCTGTGCCTCTCCAGATTCCAGGAGCCAGTGCAGATCAAGTCACCTCCCTCTCCCAGGTGGAAGTTGGGCCAGACTGCAGAGGAAGGCACAAAACAGGTGCAGGGTAGTATTGTGGGGTATCAAAGTAATACCTTAGCGATCCTGGTGACCATAGTACGGTTGCAAAACTGGGATGTGGCATCAGAATATAGACCTATACTATTGAGATGGCAAACATCTACAGTGCAGAATCTATGAGTTGACCTGTAAAATGCTTTTGTTGCTGCGATGTTGCCAGTCATGCAGGCAACCCTTCCTGCCAACCATTTCCTCTTTTTCATTAATCTGCAGTAATTTCTTTGGCGTTCCTTTGCATTAAACCTAAGGGGTATTCATGGCATTGACAGGTATGGTTCAATTAATATCCTTCCCTTCCCCAGG